TGTACCAAAAACATTTTGGACTTATTTCATTTATACACAAAAGTCAAATTTCACACTAAGTTGATAAAAAAGGATAAAAAAGTAGGACAAGCAGCTCTCGTAGTGAGGAGCTGCACTTACTGTACATTCCAGGAGGACTTGTGAAACTAGATTATAGGCAGTAATTATTACTGGTGTGGCCACGAAAAAAATACTTACACAAATGTTTGAAATCACTGATGATAGAATCCTGCCACCTCCCCTGGAGAAATAAATCCAGTCCAAATGGGGCTCCAGTCTGAGTGGAGACCGTCAGCGGGGGAGAGGAAGGTGCGATTTCCTATCACAAATGAGATGTTACCAGTGTGTCAGCACTACTGAAGTGTGTATTAGTCCAATCCACATAAATTTAGACCTTCATAAAAGTGTCACCCAGTGTCCCCAGAACCAGCCACCCCGTAAGCAGCAAAGCAGAACTGTGTTCCCTCAGCTGACTGGTATCAGAAATTGAACATAGTTTCAAAGGAAGCTCAGAATAAAACATCAGTGTTTATTGATAGATTTATTTTATTTTCCCAGCCCACAGTAGCTCTTCTATGGTATTTGGCCACAGTGAAACTGGAAAGCTCATAAACTTGCTGGTCAGATCAATAACATGGAGATAAAAACATACAGACAGAGAAAGATTTGTGAGATTTGAACCACAGCCTGTAGAGATTGTTTCACTTTGCCAAAGGGTGAAAAGAGACTCAGTGTGTCACACACGTCTCTGAGTTTATTGTTTCACTTTGAAAAATGGAAGTGTATTTGTTCCAGAACAGAAATGAGTGATAGATGTCAAACACACTTCACAAATGCCTCTGGCTTGGAGTTCTCTTTTTAGTTGAACGGTTTCTTGATTTAAATACAACTTCAGTATAGCCTGCACTAAGTCCAGCATGTGTTCGTAGTACTACAGAACTCGTAGTCATCGTACATTTACACAGTGAAATCTGGCCTTCTGGCCATACCCAGAGGACACACTATAAACTGTTTTATTCTAAAAGCTGCATGTACACAAGTTGAGAAATATGGAAAAACAAAAAAAAAAACAAAAATATGAAACAGCCCACTACAAGTAGCAAATAAAGCCTTAAATACATGTTTGTTGTCTTACAGAAAGGTGGGAAGTCTGGACCGATATGAATTTCAACCCCTCGTTTGTTTCAGCTGCATATTGTATCTAGTTAGCTAGCAAGCAGACAACTTGCTTCAAGATAAGATCTGAACAGTGAAATTATGTGTTCATGTTTACTAAGGAGTAGCAGAGGGGTTTTGCGCTGCAGAAAGGGGAGAAAAGCGTAACTTTACGCGTTTGGTCTTATGCTATGTGTATTTTAAAGCGTTCCCGTTCATGGACGTAAGTAAGACGGGGGGGAAATGAAGATGTATTTATTAGTTTTATTTACCAACCTGCATCAGAGGGAACTGCAGCTGAAATTTCATGTCAGGAAAAAGCAGGTATACAATTTGTGTGCCAGCTGTCAGTTACCTGAGACCTCAAGCAGAACAGTGAGGCTGTTCTTATATAAAGTGTTTTGACCCAGTTGTTTGTATGTAGCCTATATGAAAAAAACTAAAAGTGCAAATTAAAAAAGCAATATGTGCAATTTGTCAAATTTCACCTGCTGAATGATTTTGGTTTTATTATTCTTTACCATATTACACACCACTTATTTCTGCAAAAACACCTCATTTCATATTTCCATTGGATAGATGCTGTTCTCCTGATCAAACACATGGGTTTGAAATGAATCTTTGTCTAAATAGAGTGCATCTAATTGGCAGCACATCCACTAAATGTATCAAATAAATGTGAATTAATGTTCCTTAACTGATGATATATTAAGTCTGAACTAATCACAGAAAGGCACAAGGATCTGATCATTTCTGAATCTTGAGAAATGGGAGCTCATGACACATCTTGCAGTAATTCATTAAATCATCCTGAATCAGGCATTAATTATATGGCTATAAATGCTTATATGCTATGATTAATTATATGATTTGTACCCTTACTGTAAAGTGTTAGTTACTCTTCACCACAGACTTTAAGGACATACATTTGTGTTTGTACTCAGTACGCTGGTTCATTCCACAGGCTACAGTAAGAGTGTTTGTACTCAGTACGCTGGTTCATTGCACAGGCTACAGTACCAAGACTCACAGGTAACACTTTGCTTCCACTGAAATGTTGTTCTGACATTTAAATCTATGCAATTATTCAATCACAGACCTAAACACCTTAATAAAGACTCTTTCTCAGGTGTATAGACATACACATGGTGATATGCTGACACCCGATTGTTGAGATGGCATAGAAGCATGTAAGCAGTACAATAACTGTCAGACTCCTGCAAGTTTTCCTGGTGTGATATTGAATAGGCTAAAGAGGGATAGAAGCGAACAGGCAGATAAAGAGATACTTTTATATAAACGGGCCGTCATCCTTGTACTCTACCTTCAGACATAAAAAAAAAAATGAAAGCACAGGTTTTCATGTTCTTACTGACAAGCCTGTCAGGAGATTATTTATAACCCTGTGGTTGTCCCTTTGTAGCACAGACTTGCACCTGTATGTGACCTAATTAAACACTTTTTAAAATGAACGACACGCTGACAAAGTAAGAGATTAAAAGCTGGTAAGGAGCCCATTTGTGCTATAGTGTCTGGTTGTGTTGGATGTGGTCAAATGTGGAGATGATATTTATCATATAGTATGTCCTCTGTTATGTTCTTTAAAGTACCTGATCAAACCATAATAATGTAAGAGTCAAAGTTTTGGTAATAGTCTAACTTGATTTTTTCCTTTGGATTATGATGAAAGCGTGTTTTAATAAAACAATGCCTGCAACACTTACTGTACTAGATCCATTTTGTAAAAGAGCTGATGCAGCCCAGGCTTATTCTTCAGTCTCCAAAGATTTACTGAGAAATGCATCTCTTTTGATGGTCTAATGAGCATGATGCAGCCATGTTGCTGTTCCCTTTCTTCTGGTAGGCAAACCATTTATAAGGGCTCTTCCCGTGCTTCTGCAGTAATGGTACTGAAGAGACTCGCTGTGTTAAAGTTCTCTTATTAGTTCTATCATCGCTCATAACTGACTTAATAAATTGAAGATGAGAACACAAAAGTGGCTAAATATAAAATTCGGGTAGAAAATGTGACTGGGGGAAAGAGCAGAGGAGAGGGAGAAAGAACCTCATGCATGGATGCACAAGGGCAATTTAGAGTAGCTGTCAGTTTCCAAGGACACGTCAGCCTTTTGTGATATTAATGAAAAGAGCAGCAGTCCAAGTCCTGATAATAGATCAGTCTTCATAAGAGAGAACAGGTGTGCTTCTCCTGCGCTGACATGCAGCTGGGTGCAAATGTGTCTTATGTATTCTCCAGACCAAAAAAAACATGTTTTCTTCTTCACACTATTTCTGAGTGCTATCTTTTTCCTGAAATTGTTTTGAAGAACATAATGCACCAGTCTTATGAGTCCAGTGGGGGTTATGTAAAACTGTATCCATGTAGCATGGTGACAGTGAAGTGCTAGGTTGAACTACTCTAAGGTTCATGTTCATTTGATTCTCAGAATAAGAAAAATGATAAGCAGCCAAAACAGGTGCACATGTGGGTTGTGGTTGGTGACTTTGTGTGAAGTAAATGGGGATGCTTCAGTCAAAATTGGCTCATTAGTCTATGTTTCAGTCATGACTCAGATCAAAATCAAGTGAGCTACACTGGACACAACATGTCAAGTAGTTAGAAAATGGATTTTAGAGAAAATCAGAGAAAGGCGCAACAAAAGATTTTCTGTAAAAGCAGAACTTAGCTCTAATTGGCAATCGTTTTTCCCCCTCCCCTCCAGCCAATCAAGGTGTAGTAGTGGGTTGGTGGCCAGTAATCACTACATTTCACCTGCAGGGTTTTGTGAGTAATTGAGGCCAAAGAGAAGCTGCAGAGAGGAGAAATTTATATGTGGAAGGCTTAATTCACCTTATCAGAGGCAGCAGATGTGGTGGAAGACCCTGTTTAAGACCCTCTAATACCAGGACTCAGTGATGGAGTTGCAGGCTAAAGCTTCAAAAACTCCACTAGCTATTTCACTATAGATGATATCACACATACAGTGGTATACTCTAGACTCTGCCACTCAGATGGCTCACAACATGTCTTTTCTTATACCAGTTTGACAAATTGAGCCCTTGAATGCAAATGCCTTGTGTATTTCTTACCTGCCAAAGATGTAGCAATGTCTGTTTGGGGTTCATAGCAGCAGCAGTTCAGACTAGTCGAGATATGCCTCCCAGCTGCCCTTGCCAGAGAACTTTGGCGTCTTTACCCTGGTGAGTGGGGAGAAGACGGCGTGCTGCAGCGTGACTGTCCTCATGCAGCCTTCTGGTTGGGTCATCAGTGAGGTAGAGGTCAGTCCCGCTGGCTCTAGCTTGGGCTGAGAGGTCGGCTGGTGCTGGCTCTGGGTCCCTGTGAAGCTGGGGTGGTGATGACTGGGCGTGGTTCCAGTATCATTTGAAGGGAAGGCTGATTGAGCCGTGCAAAAACTTTATCAGTACTGAAACACAAATCAGAAACAGATTTTTTTTTTAAATTTATATATATATGTATTTTTACAGGCTTAAAGCATGCAAGGGATTGAAATGTGGCCAAAACCAATAAGTAGTGTAAACACACTTCATTGTGCAGTGTGTACAATATGTGATCATCAGGATGGAGTTGTGTCTATCTCTCTAAGTGATTTGGTGTTGTCACATTTACCTCTGAACAAACATCTAGCTTCTTACATTACATTTGTTGAAGGTCTTAGTAAAAATAACCACATTTGTAAGGATCACATTTGTAAATCTGAAACCATATAAAAGAGAGAACAGTGCACACTGAGCCAAGCCTCTGTCAGCTGGAGAAACCATGAAAATACATGTACACTTTTCCTTTTTCCACTCTGACCTCTATTTTTTCTTTGTCTCTCCTGCAGGACCTGGGTGGGGTGAGTCCTCCTCAAAGGAACTGGAAGGGGATTGCCATTGCTCTTCTGGTCATCCTGGTGGTCTGCTCCCTCATCACCATGTCTGTCATCCTCCTCACACCAGGTAACCCTTAGTTGTGCATGTGCTCTCTGCTCTGTCTTGAAGGCCCTGCACTTACTCTTCAAGAAGCCCTGTTTTTACCTGCTCCTGTGTCTGTTTTGCCACGCCTATCTGCTTCATCTGAGATTTTATTCCAGAAGAATGAATGAATATACAATGTGATATCATGCAGAATTGTTGGGCAGAAATCTTCTTTGTCTTCATTTTGACTCGTGAGGTGTACAGGTCCTCCATGGAGGGCAGGCTGGCACTAATGGTTCTTTCTTCAGTCCGGACTGTCGCTGCAGTCTATACTTGTCCTGTTTGGTTGCTGAGTCAAACCAGACAGTGATGGATAAGCAGAGAAAAGACTTGATGATTCCTCTGTAGAACTGTATCAGCAGCTCCTGGGGCAGGTTGAACCTTCTGAGCTGGAGCAGGAAGTACATCCTCTGCTGTGCCTCCTGATGGTCCTGATGTTGGATGTCCACTTCAGGTCCTGGAACCTGGGTCCAGGAACTTGAAGGACTCCACTGCTGATTCAGTGCTGCTGAGTAGGGTGAGGGGGGTCCACTCAAAGTCCACTGTCATCTCCAGTTTTGAGCGTGTTCAACTCGACGTTGTTGTGACCAGTGCTATGCTGACTGCATCATCCCTTAACCTGTTTATGATGGTTTCCTGTAGCTAGTAATGTTTTTCAGGCTTCTCCACACAGATGAGGGGTCGTTGGCTGATGACTGGGCTTTCAGCTTTTCAGAGTAGCTCTGCTTTGCTACTCTGATCTCCCTTGTCAGTGTGTTCCTGACCTGCCTGTACAGAATCCTGTCCCCACTTCTGTAAGCAGCAACGAAGCTGCTTGAGTTTTACTGTGAACCAGGGCTTGTTGTTGTTGTATGTGCAGAAGGTCTTGGTGGGCGCACAGGTCTGTAGCTGCAGTTTCAAAAACATTCCTGTTTGTGCAGTCAAAGCAGGCCTGTAGCTCTGACACTGCCTGCTCAGTCCATCTCTGCACTGTTTTGACCATAGGTTTCACAGGCTTTAAGTTTCTGCCTATACGTATGCAACTTTAATAATAATTTAAAAATATTCTGTCCCCCTGTATTGAGTAATTAACAACAGTCACCCTTCAGACTACTACCTGGTGTCTCTATATCACACAGTTGTTCAATCAGTATTCCTATACTCTTTTACTGTTGTAATACTGTTGTATAATCCATACTATACTTGCTCCCGGAATTAAGAAAGAACATCCAGTGTTACTCACAGATATAAAACTATCACAATTCACTGGCCATGGATCCACACTCCCTGGTGGATTCCACGGTTTGTTAGACTTTCATTGCCTCCATAAACAAACATGCTGTGTGGAGTTTTTAAGGAAAGCCAATATGGCTGACATTCAAAACGACTTGGCCCTCCTATTCTGCTCGCAATCAGCAGCTGTCCTGTTCAGAAGGAGCTTACAATTGGAACGTTCTCTCTCTGGTAAAGGCATAACATTTTATAATTAAAAATGAAGCGTTTCCACCAACAACGATGGAACAGCTTGAGGATTTTCTAGCCCTGTGATGATCATTTTAATGAACATATCAAATGCCATTGTGTAAAAAAAAAGTATTGCTGTGTTTGTTTCTTTTTGATTCACACAGATTCCTTAAGTGGCATCATGTACATCTTCTTGACAGACATGTGTAAACACCTGGCTGTCCATTTTATGTCCTTGTGGCTAATGCGAGCAGTAGGGATAAAGGGCAGAAGTCCACTTTGCTAAACCTTTCAGCTACATTATAAACTTCAGGTCTATTAGAGCTGCCTACTTGATGAGAGCAGCAAAACAGAACGGTACAGAAATGTACTGTTTCTCTGTGGACTTGTCACTCCATCTAACCCCAGTTACATTATACAAAGTCATTTGATCTTTGGGACCACTTTGACATCACTCTTCCTGAACTACTTCAAACATCTTTGGCCTTTCTGCAATGCTATTTCTTCTCACTTAATTGCAAACAACATATATGCTAATATGACAGAATGGTGTCAAACGAAAGGAAAAACCTGAATAGATGAGTGGGCTCTTCCAGGATGACAGAGCCCCCATCCATAGGGCACAAGGGGTCACTGAATAGTTTGATGACTATGAAAATGATGTGAATCATATGCTGTAGCCTTCACAGTTATCAAAGCTCAACCAAGCTGAGCACTTGTTACATGGGTCAAGCTCATGTGTTTGATATATGCTTTTGTCAGAAACATTGTGCACTGTACTTTTTTTTTCACTTTGTGTACTAGCTGTGTTATGCAGGCTTGGAGTTTCAAACACACACAGGTAATGTGTTCTCCTGTTTCTGTGCCCAGAATCACACAATTTAAGGGGTGACTGTGTTTTTGATGTTCTGAACAGCTGATTGCCATGGTGAGAATGAATACCACAGTGAGCTAATGCTGGAGATCAATTCTAAACTGTGTGCATGCTTAAAAGCAATTTTGCTTTCTGGAGAGGACTGTTGATTAACAACTGGAGGGAGAGAACATCTACATTAACTCCATATATTACCCATATTATACACATGATACCCATATTTTACTAAAAACACAATACAAATTAAAATGTATGTTTTGTTTTTGCAGCTGACAACCCAGCCGGAAGAGAGACCAAACTGACTGTGGAAGATTTGTTCAAACCTGAGTTCAGTGTCCATGACCCAGAAGCCAAATGGATCAATGGTGAGTTTTGCCGTCAGTCCCTTCAGCCATGAATGGAAATGAGTGGGACACTTTGAAATGATGAAATATCTGTAGAAATTCAGGATGTAATTTGATACAATGTTCATTGACCTTGAGGAGCTTTACGCTTCTGAGCACTAGAGAAACACCACGGGAGCTGTGACTAATGAAGCTTGTTTTTTGTGAATCACAGATATAGATGTCATAAGACGTTAATGCCTGCACAAATGCGGCATAGTCATTATTACTTTGACATGTACAGTGACTTCAGTGACTGCTGGTAGACTGCTGACATTACCTGTCCCTAGATACATTCATACAAAACACCCTTCGACTCTTGCTCGACATAAGTGACATCTCAATGAGTTCTGCATGTTCTTTGCAAAAGCAAACAGGACAGCTTTTGTTCCAGCAGCAAAGGGATGACATCTCTCTCTGCTGTCTCTCCTCCTTTGTAATTGAGGCTTACTCAAACAGCCAGCTGACAGCTCTGTTTTAAAGTCTGACATTTTTCACCTTGCATTTGGTTATGCAAATTCCAGTGTTGGGATTTATTGTGTCTCTACTTATTTACATTGCATTGATTCCTTATTTGCCAGAAGGGGATCATATGTTAAACCTGGATGGCTCTGGGTGAAAATAAACCACATTAAGTGAAGTGCAAGTGAATCTGATTATGGTTTGCTCAGGGGGAGGGAGAAGATAACGATACCTCTGAGGGAAAGGGTGGACAGGATTGTGTCATTGGTTTCTATCTATCTCCTTTCCTGCAGATTAGTGTGTTTGTTTTGGCTTTCCTCTTCGTTGCCCATCAACTGCATGGCTCTCACTCCATGCCCGAGGGCAAAGGAAAGAGGCAAGGCCTTTCTGTCCATCAATATTTCACTCCTGGGTGACATTTTTCCACTATCTTTGCAGCGCCATCTCATTCCCTGAGCTGACCTCAGGCTAGACAAAAAAAGCAGCGGTGTTATGCGATGAGGCAGTCAGAAAAGTCAGCTTTATAGGGTGGTTTGTGGATGGATGGGGCAAAATAGACCCCAGACAAATGGGAGAAGATAACAGACAGATGGGTGAGAGGAGAGATTGATCACTAGGCTTTGGAGGAGAAATTAGATTTTTTTTTTCCTCAAGACAAAGGTTTTTGAAGTTATGAGTCTTTCATCTCTGTCTACATTAGAGTTAATCTGAATGGGTATATCGTCTGGTCTAATCATAATAAAGTGCAAATGGGATGCAGTAGAATGTACTGTAGTTCATTTTTTAAATATTTTAATACATTATATTTAACAATATTCTATGAGTTTTTTCATTGCTGATTTGTAATTCTTATATTTAAAACTACTTATCATACAAATAATGAGCTAGAATCCAATCATGTGTACCATGAGATACTACAGTAAAACATACTGCATAATTAAATAAACAAAACTAAACTAAAATTAATGGCTCATTAGCAAACAGTGGTTATGCTTATATTATGTTGTCCTAAGGTGTATTGTATCTAAAAATAATTTTAAAAATGGAATATATTAATATACATATATACTGTATATGTATATGTACATAGAGCAACCAGACACACTAATAATTACACTGTGTACCGTATTTATATCTTATCTGTTGACCATTAGTCTGATATTTTCACACCTTTTGAAGTTGGTGTGAACAACAAATAAGCAGACTTAGTCCTTTTTTAAAGTAATGCCACCTTCCAAATGAACTATAGCACAGTTGGTTGTGCTGTGCAAACACAGCCGACCAATCAGAGGAACATGCCCTCTATGGGATTTTAGCATGAATTCAAAAACAGAAATATGACTTCACATGTTAAGAATTTACACAAGATAGTCATTTAATAACCATGGTAAGCATGATGTGATTTTTATCTAAGGCATCAGATCATGGAAAGGGGTTAAAACTGTCTATTTTGGCAGTCTGTCATTAAAAATCAAGTGGACTGTTGCAACGATACACACACACTTCATGTTTTCTAGATGTTGAACATTTATGCCATGAGGTCCACCTGCATCCTCTACTATCAGCTGCAGTATCTAACTTAAGGCAGCACTAGCATGAAACTCCAAATCTATCCTCTCTGCTCTGCCCAGCACTCCCGGCTACACTATGCTCTGCTACACTGCACCACACTCTACCCAGCTCTTCAGTTTTTTGTCTTCATGAAATTACAATAAATGAGCATGCAACAAAATTTACTGATCAAGCAGAAATAAGTGAACATCTCTGATTGGTTAGAGAAGTCAGTCCTGCTCAAAAACCTCTAAGCTAATATTTCTGTTCAATGAATCTGGGTCACAGGAGGCTTCGAAAGCATCTCTTCACATTAAGACAAGTTTTAGAGCAGATTTCTACAACACTAATAGTTTTAATGACCATATTGTTTTTTTTCACATTATTTACATTCTTCACAAGCAGTAACTGAAGCTGAGTTTTACTTTGTTGGTTTGGATATGGATTTATGGATTTTTCATGTTTTGAAGAGCCACATTCTGACTTCTGCTATAATAAAACTGATCACTCACCATGACAATTAGAACATGACTAGCAGAGCTGTGCAGGAGAACTGATGACACCAGTGTGCACACCATTCAATCAGTGCAAGTATTGCTGGTCAGACTGCAGAAAAGGTAGTCTATGGTTTTCTCCCAGCTCCAGCAGTCATGCTTTCAATTTCATTACAAAACTAGTCAGATATTCACTAAACGGTTGGTGCAGCATTCTAAAAAACAGATGTCAACACAGTGAAACATTCTTAATATAAAAAAAAAAACAACTTATTGCTGAAATGCCTAATCTCTTGGTTTGTAATACGTTATTGCGAACACTAAAAATGGAAATAGTGAATCTGTTTCCTACCTTGGTCTGCACCAAATGAACTGTTGGTGTGAAGGTTACAAAAGTACAACACAAGATACATGGCCAAGCATGCTGGAGACTAATTTATACCTCAGTTAGATGAGTGCCGATATAAAGTTCCAGATGGATGGACTGCTACAGTCTGACATCAAATGGAGTGCATCATTACAGATTAAATTTCCTGCTAAGAGCACAGTGCTTCATTCATTAGGTACACCTCCATCTCCCTGTTAATGGAGCCAGTTTTTCCACAGGACACCATTTCTTTGTTCCATCTCATGTGGAACATAGTGATGATCACAACTATACCCCCCCAAATGCATGTACTTTAGACTGGTAAAGTAGTAGGGATGGGACGATGTGACTTCTCAATAGGATTTAATTCTTGATAACAGTGGGTGTGATTTGATTCAATGACAAAATAAAAATTCAACAATGTAGCTGCAAAATGCTTGTACTTAGCTTATTCATCCCTACCCCCAGCCCACTTTGAAAAAAAATGGGCCATGAAGTCACTGGTGTATGGAGACCACACATATTGCTAGAAAAAAAAAATACTGTGATGTTTTTGTATCAGTTTATTCAATTTCAATATATTGTCCAATAAATTAGCACCAGCTAACTAGCCTGTAATTAAATCAAACACATTGGTTATTTTTGCTATTAGACTGATTCTGCAGTTACTTTTGATAATATTTCACACAAATCAGCATAATTACCACATTAAAGGCATCCATTTGTTGGTCAGAATGTTGGTGGAGCTGGGTGACGGCGCTGCACTGCTAACACTGAAATTCATTTGGACTGTAATGTGGGTAGAGTAGTTACATATAAAAATCTGCTCAGAGATAAGGAGACATCTGGTTAATGTCGGGCGCATGTGCAAAAAAAATGACATGCATAGTTACCAGCTGCTGTGTGAGGCCACTGGATGTGTGTTTGGTTTCCACACTGATGCGTGCGACTGAAAGGCTCGTTCAGCTGCTGCCACATGTGATTCAGTAAGTCGCAGGCTCCCCTCACATGCTGGGTGCCCTCAGCTGTCAGACAATCTGACAAGAGAAGGGCATCATATTGTGTTCACACTGGTTCACACTGACAAAGTAACACCAGTTATTTTCTTAAGATCTCAAATCCAGAAACTCTCCAGTAGCCTCAATAGGCAGCCAGGGAAGTGGAGTAACCTTTAAGAAAACCCATTTGTTTAACAGCAGTTTTTCTTTGTATTCAAACATATGCAGTGTACCAAAAAGTTACATATGACAAAATATAGTGTGACCATAGTACATATACTGTAGCACAACATTACATACTGCATATGACAAAATACTGTTGAGTAAAGGGTTAACTATTGGAAGGACAAAGCCATCCTATTTATTTTTCACAAATCCCACACAAAGAAACAATGATACATTTCAGTGTAATGTCTGAATCCAGAACCTGATTTAGCTGATTCATCCACGTTGCAGAGCTCCACTCTTGTCAAAGATCTCTGTAAATGCTACTGGGAAATGTACTGTAGTCTAGCTATTTTTGAACTAGTTTTCTTAAGTGTCTTGCTCAGTGACAAAGGTTTTAATTAAAACAACAAGTCCTCCGTAAAGACAAGGAGTGGCGATGTACTAAAAGCCTTCAACAGGGCCTTAATCACTTGTTGAGTGTGCCCCAAGGCTTTTAGTACGTCTCCGCTCCTTGCTCTGGCAAAAAGTGCCTGAAGAATGTTTTTACTATAAATTAACTTGTCATTTGAATTTCTGGATGAGTTAAAGGCCTTGATATCCCTTTAGCTTGGGCAAACAGAATTTCTGTATGAGACTGAGGCTTCAAACAAAAAACCCATCTTGAAAACCCTCCTCTGCAAGTATTTGTCCGGTATATAAATGCCAAATCTTTCAGGGAGCACGAAACAGAAAAACCAGGGAACCAAATTAATAATTATCAAAACACTGAGTCCACAGATGTAGCGGGGCGGGGGGGGGGGAGGGAGCGATTACAGAAATGAAAGCAAAGCAACCAAGTGGGTGTGGTGATCTCAAATGGAGCACAGGAGACAGGTAAGGCATGGGAACCAGATGAGCCAGCAACCACACTAAACGAAGGGAGGAGGATATAAAGACAGGAGA